CTCCTCGTCATGGCTATAGAATACTGAGGAGGCAATTCTTACTCACATCTCAAGTGAGCCATCTGGGGCAAAAGCCATTTTTTGTAGCTTTTTCTTCCAGCCTCCCAGCGTGTTGGGACCCTGCAACCACTTAGTGTCCTCTCCCCAACCGTCAGCACAGGCAGCAGGAATCTCACTGCAGACCTCTCCAGAGCTCCACGCGCTCCTCCACTGCAGCCTGTACTGTCAGGGGAAGAATGGCTTCCAGGGGGTCTCCCCAGATATTGCGCAAGGTCCTCCTGGTTTCCAGCTTCCAAACGGCTCTCATGACCCTGGTCAGCTAGACCTCTGAGTCTTTGGGTGTAGCCTGTATTCTCGTGTTCTCTGAGTCCTTGTTCAGCAGCTGCTTCTCCGCTGACTCTGGATAATTTTATTTTATATTAATTTCATCTCAGTAAAACCAGACCCCAAAAAACCCACTTCATATGATCTCACCATCTTGTAACATGCTTCATTCCTGTAACAGTGTACCATGAATATCTGTGTTGACAGAAACATTATGCAAGCTGCTTTAATAGCTGTACATGTTGCCTATGGAATAATAAGTCCATTATAGTAGTGTGATTTAGTTAACCGATCCCTTACTGTTGAAAAGATTGTTGGTAAAGCTTTTGCTATTAAAAATAACAAAGTCCAGTGTGGTGGTGCATGGCTGTAATCCCAGCACTCAAGAGGCTGAGGTAGGAGGATTGCTGTGAGTTCAAGGCCAGCCTGGGCTACATAAGTGAGTTCAAGGCCAGCCTGCACTATGCAGCAAGACCTTGTCTCAAAAACAAAGCAAAACAAATAACCCCACCCCAGCATACAGGTAAAGTTAGCTAAAACCAAATAATAAATGTTTAAATAAAAGTTAAATAGGTAAATAAAAATTTACATAAAAAATGCCAGGTGTGGTGGCACATGCCAGTAATTCCAGCACTTGGAAGGTTGCAACAGGAGGGTCACTGTGAGTTTGAGGCTAGCCTAGGCTACAAAGTGAGTTCGAGGCCAGCCTGAACTGCATCAAGAAGGCAAAAAATAAAAAATAAAAAGCAATAGTAGAGAAACAAAGTGTTGTAAATATGAATCCTGACCTTACTCCCCTAAAAAAAAATCTCATAAGACACCAAAAAATTGTTAATGTGTAAAAAACAAACAGGAAAGTTTAAATTTCTTCCTTTTTGTTATTTTAGGGCTGGGGATATAGCTCATTAGCACAGCACCTGCCTGGTAAGTGAAAGATGCTGGGTTCGATTCCTGATACTAAAAAAAAAAAAAAAAAATCCAAACCAAACCTTTTTGTTATTGTAAGTTTGTACCTTGACTGCTTGCATAAGTAATACACATCAGTATTGTAAAAAGAAAAACAAGTATTAATGCAAACTAAATATTAAAACAAAGAATAGGGCCAGGGATATTGCTCAGTTGTAGAATGTTTGCCTACCATGCACAAAGCCCTGGGTTTGTCCCCCACACTGCAAAGGAAAAAAATTGGTGGAGTGAGGGAGGATGGAGGGAAAGAAGAGAAAAGGGATTAAAAAAAGAGAATGGAAAGAAAAAATGGAAACAGCGCTTTTGTAAATGAGGAGGGGGAGAAGGGTT